AGGTTACAACCTAAGCTTTCTTCTAATTTGTATAGTAACGAACGAGGTTTCAATTTCGTCGCTCCCGTGCGAACTGCCGAGTTTGCTTAAGTAATTGAAGCGCCTACTCACATAAAATGAGTAGCCCTTTTAATTCATACTTGGTCTTTGGGGTCGGGTGATCCCATTCTAACAGCGCAGGTGCTAGCCAAAAGCCCATACACGCGTGTTCCGCCGATATTCTGCCGCTGCGAGGGGTTCGGCTCGTCAGTAGGTCCCCCAGCATTCCCTTATTGCTTCCTGGTCAATACTCCAATTCAGAAATTGTAGCTTTTTAATTTCCTTTGGTCTGCCAGTCCTGGCTCAACCAATGTATCACTCGGGTACGTTTGTTTCTCACCTCTGTCGCGTGTTTTAAGCATGTTAGAGTTTTAGGATTTGGGTGTTAACTCATTCCTCTGCATATCATCTCGACCTTGTGGACTGAAAGCTTAAAAGAGCTGAAATTTTGACGTTTGGTCATTTAATCTAAGCATTGACTGGATTGCTAAACGCCCGGCCACTGTCGTCAGCCCGTTAAACCGGCCGTCTGGAAGTGGACGAACCAGGAAAAGGCCTAGATTCCAGAGGGCTAGCTGACTGATGTCGATTGCCTAAGAGTTACGCGAAACACAGCAACCGCGGATGCGCGAGTTAGTCGCGTTTACTCCCTCATGCTGCGGCGAGTCGTTGAACTGATTGCTAAATTTTCCGTTAAATTTTACTTGAAAACTTGGTTGCGCAATGGGAAAATGAATCTCCCCCGTAGTCAGGTGACCTCGTACTAAACTCCAGAGGGGGGTTGGGGTTAAAGTTGGAACACAGGAATAGATACCCACGTGCGATTTGGCGCATGGCCACCCGTGGTGCGGTGGGTCCATATTTCCATGTCGGACCGAAATATCGAAGCGACGTTTGTACGCTGGTATTAACACAGACAGACCAGGATGCGAGAGGTCATTCGTCGCAAATGATGAAGATCCCTTTTGCCCCGGATGGGTCCTAGTGGCGACCTACGAGGAATATGTTCGTTGTGATGTAGACTTGCACCGCATCTACCTGGTGCATGGGTTAATAGGGAAATGCGTAGTAATTTGACCCTGTCCGCGGTAATTTACCACAGCTTATCGTGAATTCGCATGGGACCGAATAGGCCCGTGTGAGAACAGTGCGGACAATTAAAACGATAGCGTCTGCTGAATGCCGGTGTTCCATGCAATGGTTCGCCAGTCTCTGCGATAGATTCGCAAGTGACCGACCAGGCCGGTGCATGAGATTAACATGCGGTGACAAGGTGGGCAGGATAGGTTGGGAGGTGTTGAGTCGATTGGTGTTGTGATGCCGCCAGTGATTAGCGTGCTGGTCGATGGGGAGTTGTTTGCGCTGGGGATGGGAGGATTGGTGGATCTTTAAGGTGTGCTGTCTGTGTCGATGTTGCGGTGAATTCCACTGAAGTGAGCACGTGTGTAACCGAATAGGCCCATGCGGCGCATGAATATGCGTGAGCAATGAAGACGCAGTCGCCAGGAGGGCGTGCAGGTTTTTGTAGAACTTGTTCTTCATCTCGTCGGAGCTGGTCCTTGGGGGAGGGGGGGGGAGAGGGCGTAGACACTGACGGTGGCGAGTTTGGATCGCCAAAAAGGCAGGCACAAGTTCATCAGTCGACCGTTGACGCCCTGCAGTAGACAGGAGCAGTCGCCCCACGATTTCGCTACGAATGACAGAGGCGACGCCTGCGTTGCGTCGCTCTGTATTTGTGCGGTCGCTCCAGAAGGTGCAGCTGGCACCCACCTCCTCCATTTGGCCTTGTTCGGAGAAGCGCGTCGCTGGGAGCAGCACTCTGTACCTTGCAGCGCCCCAGTTCTCGTGCGCCCAGCGCTGTCCTTCTCTCCGGCCGGCTACTCTCCGAATTGCCTAAAAGGTTACGTACATTCCAGGCTTCGGAGTGAACAGACTCACCCTAGCAGCCTGTGGGGGTAGAATGGAGGCAAGGAGATGAGGGTGGCTTTTGTTCATTGGAGTTCGGCGGTCGTGACCGATGATGTCCGCTGTGTGCTTCAGAGCAGGGAGGGAACAGGGACGGCGACCTGCACGTGAATCAGTTTATAGTGATAGTAGACTTTTGCTGCATCTGTCGCACCCTCCTCCCCCACCTGGATCCGCTGTCAAGGCATAGTCAAGAAGATCGGAGCCGAGAGAAACTGCAAGTAGCTAGCACGACGAAAACTCGCATCTAGGAGTACCTCTACACCCCCTGGCCCATAAAGGACACTGACCAGGATTTTATACACCAAGACAAATCAGGGGAACGACTCGGATTCCACATGACGCGTCTTGAACCGGCAGCTGGGCTTGTCCCAATACCCCAGTCCTGACATTCTTTATGGGTGCGCATTCCCAATAACGCTTGCCGGACTCCGACATCGTCTCCGTGTTGATCCAACCTGTCAACCGCGTGGTCCGTTTTAGGGGCAAAGCACGCACAGAGTCTAGGCCCTAGCTCCACATGTATCAGGTTCCACCTTGGCTGTTCTATGCTCTTACTTGAGCGAGAGATGCCATAAGGATCGCCATCAGAAGAAACCACTTCAAACTGATTAATGACTCAAGGCGGAGCCAAGTTACCCCGTCAGTTGGCGGCCTTCCACACCGCAGCGTCAAGTTGATTATAATACGGAAAACGTTTCATTACTAATGGAGAGTGTCACCTCAGTACCGGACATACTCTTTCCTCCTGTCCAACACCTCAGGCAGATGAGTGGGGAAATCGGAAGTTGTGACTGATGTAATGTAAGCTTCCTTCTGCCGCGTTTTAGGCACGCGCACATTATATCACACCCCTCATTGCCAATGATGACCAATTTCACTGAATGGTTGACGTTTAAGAGATGCATGCAAGCTACGTAGTATGTGTATTCAGAGCGCCACAATCGTCAAGTCAAGTTCTGAGTAGTGGGACGGGAGAGAAGGATGAGAGATTTTTGTGTACCGAATGCGGAATTGCTGTCTTTGGCGGTTGACGAGGCCAGGGAGTGTCTTTTGGTGGCACCAAGTCGTGTCCGAAAGAGAGTTAGACTGTGGTGTCGGTTTTTTGTGTGCATCAAAGCTAAGTTGACGCAGCTTGTGTCTAGTGAGGTAAGAGGGTGTGTGTCTAGAGGTCTGTCTTCTATTAACCGAGGGGGAATGTATTCAAGTGGGGCGCAGACGGCTGTGGCTGTCTGGACAGGCCTGCGTCCGGTCTGAAATCGGCGGACTGGCCGCAGGTCAGCGCGTCTGGAATTACGCGAGGTTGCGTTTGAAACACGAGCCCTCATGAGAAAATCCACAGGTCTTGAGTTTTTTGAGTCATCAAACAAATAAGGTAGCCGTGCAATGATGCTGGTCGGCCACAACTACCAGCAGGCAGGGTTATTTCACTACTGATGAATGACGTTGTGTACACAGATTATCATAAAAGCCCAAGTGGCGCCTGAGTGCACGAGGGTGACCTATTCATAAGTGACGGAAAATATTTTGTTACTGGGAGCCGTGTACGCAGACACGGCAGGTTTTGTAGACAAAAACAAGTGGGGCCGGAATAGTCATTTGTGTTTTCAGAAGACTATTTGGCGGGCAGACTTTTGCTTCCCATCGATTCTCATCAGGTTTGTACACCCAGATGGTAACAAGGTCAATTAAAATATGTAGGTCATAATATGAATAGAGCAATGTTCAGCTTTTCACAAAAGCGGAAGGTGGGAAATATGTCAGGATAGCTGCAGGTAGTCAGCATTAATCTCGACGTGCTTGCGCGCCGGTGTGCAACTGGACAACTGCCAACTACAGTATTAGGAAAAGCCACCGACACGATGCGAATATTACACTTCCAAAGAATTGAGGCACACAGTGACACCCCAGAAGATAAAAGGGCCAGGCGACTATACCTCCAAGACCTCTTCACAGCTAATGGTAATCCCTGCCATTTATCGAGAAATGCAGGCGCTGAGCGCACACACGATTGCCAGAAATCTCGAGGGCCATTCCCTACATTAAAGGGATCTCTGTGGCGGTCTCCCGACTGTTACAACTTGCCAGGGGGTATCCAGTTGTGGGCCCACGTGAAGGTCGTGGTAGGAAGTGGAACCCAGCTCCCAGCCGTGGCTTACCGAAGGTAGGCTCTATCTCGCGGCCACATCCCGCCAACCGCGTCGATCGGAGGGCTAGACCAGGTGAGTGTATCCGTGTATGCATCTCACCACACACGGTAATTATGCCTCTTTTTATTCCTTCGTACCCTCTCTCCGCAATTCTTCCCAGCCTTCATTCTCTCTACTCTCTAGGGTACTGTCTTGCCCCACGGTCGGAAGTCCTGCGGCGAGAGAGACAGCAACCACGTAGGTGGCCTAGACCACTGGTCCTTCTCTCACTAAAGCCCGTGACCCATAGTGGAGAGCGATATCAGTCTGGTCTGACAAGGCAGTCCTATTTAGGGAGGGCAATGCTTTCCCCAAGAGGGGTACGGGGCCATAAGAGGTTCCCTAAACAAAGCTGGGTTCACGACATCTGCACGCAGACAGTGTCTCGCAGACTGCTTGATGCGCGATTAAAACAAAAATACAAGACAAAATACTCTCTCTCTTTCCATCTCCTCTTACCCGCCACCCCATCCCACAGGCAGCTAAGATGAGTCTGCTCACTCTGACTGCCTGGAATGCTCGTCCTCTTTTAGGAAACCCCACGAGCAACCGGCCGGAACGAAGAACAGTGCTAGTCGTTCGGGAACTAGCGCGCTACATGGTAGACATCGCTGCACTCAGCGAGGCCCGTTTCCCTAAACAAAGCCAACTGCAAGAAGTGAGTGCTGGTCACACCTTCTGAAGCGGTCGCCCAAGGCTGAGACGACTCCCCTGTCTGCTGCAGAGCATCCATAATCGCCCGATGAGCCTCCACCTGCTCTCCGGGGAGGTAAATTAACCACCACCATCAACGCCTGCTTCCCAACAATGACCGGCTCAGATGAGGCGAAGACAAAGTTCGACGAAGACCTGCACGCCCACCTGACGTCTGTATTGAAGGCGGACAAGTTGACTGTCCTTCGTGACTCCAATGCCCGCGTCGAGACAGAATGTACTACCTGGAGGGGAGTACTGGGTCCTCACGGAATCGCCGGCTGCAACGACAATGCTCTCCTTCCCCGGCGGACCTGCGCTAAACACCGTCTTCTGCTGACCACCACATTCTTCCTCATGCGGATGCGGAAGAAGGCCACCTGGATGCACTGCCGATTGCGGCGCTGTCAGCTGTTGGACTATGTTCTCGTCTGAAGGCTAGGTCGAGAGGACGTGATGATAACTAAAACGATCTGCGACGCCGATGGCTGGACGGACAACCACCTCGTCATCTGCACGATGAAGCTCCGTCTGTAAGCCCGTAGGAGGCCACAAGGTAAGTGGCCCCCAGCTAAGCTGAATACTGCTTTGCTGTCTTTGCCTGCTCACGGTTTGCATCCCAGCAATCACCTGACCCATCGGCTAGAAGACCTGCCAGCAACAGCTGAAAACGCCTCTGTGGAGACTCGATGGCACCGACTACGGGACACCATTCGCTCGACCGCCCTGGCGGTCCTTGGCCGCGCACGTCGCCAGCACTAAAATTGGTTTGACGAAAATGGCGGCGTCCTCAATAGCCTGCTGGCTGTGAAAAAAAGGCTGCACGGGGCCTGCCTCAACCGCCCAAGCGATGCGCACAAAGCGGTATTCTACCAATGTCGCCGGCTGGCGCTGCAACGATTGCGAGAAATGCAGGATCCCTGGATAGCTCGCAAGGCCAAGGAGATCCAGGCACACGCCGGCCACAGCGACTCGAAGAATTTTCTCGCTGAAATCAAGGCGATCAACGGCCTCTGATCAAAGGAACTACACAGCTCCTCAGTTCCGAGGGGCCAACGCTTTTGATGGAGAAGCCGCAGATTTAGAAGCGTTCGGCCGAGCACTTTAGAAACATCCTCAACCGGCCCTCCACAATCTCCGACGCCACCACCGATTGGCTCCCCCAAGCGGAAATCAACGTCGATCCTCCCACCCTCCCTTCCAGAAACCGTTCGCGCCGTACAACAATTCTCCAGCGCGAAGGCATCAGGCTCCGACGTAATCCCAGCAGAAATCTACAGGCGCGGTGGTCACCGCCTGGTGAGCCAATTCATGACGCTACTTTAGGAGGTGTGGCAGTGTGGACAAGTTCCCAGGACTTCGAGGACGCAACCACTGCTCACCTCTACAAGTGCAAAGACAACCGTCAAGCCTGCGACAATCACAGGGGCATTTCACTGTTCAACATCGCCGGGAAGATCTTCACCCTCATCCTCCTCAATTTCTTCAGCTGACACCATGAGCAAGGACTACTGCCGGTAAGCCAATTGGATTCCCGACGACAGAGTAGAACCACTGACATTATGTTTGCCGCCCACCAGCTCCAGGAGAAGTGCCAGGAAATGCGAACGCACCTCTAGACCACTTTCGTAGACTTGACGAATGCCTTTGATACGGTGAGTCGCAAGGGACTGTGGAAAAGCAAACAGAAATTCGACTGTCCTGAATGATTCCTGCACATGGTACGTCAACTCCACGACGGGACGATGGTGCGCGTCACGGACAATGGCACAATCTCCGAGGCATTCGTAGTGACCAGTAGTGCGAAGTAGGGCTGGGTCCCATGTTATCTGCCATGATGGTGGACGCCTACCGTCGTGAACGTCCTGGGATACGCATCGTAGACAGAACTGACGGGCATCTTCTCAACAGCAGGCGCATGCAAACCCGAACGCGACTATCTACGACCACGCTCCATGATCTGCTCTTCGCGAGAACTGTGCGCTCAATACCACAATCGAGCCAATTCCGCCGAAACGGTTTCCCAACATTTGCCTTATCTGCACCCAGACGATACGCCGTGATCCCCTGTAGATTACATTATCAGTTTTTTCTTACTTCCTCTTACACTTTCCACTGATACCGTTTGGCTAATAAACTTTCGCCTCGTTCCGCACTTCCCTATCATTGATTGAGTGAGTAATGGCAGGCGACGACAATTCCGTCAAAGGAAACCCAAGCTACCCCATCTCAGAAAGAGGATACGCCGATAAACCCGTCTCAGGACCTGCCGAGGCATCAGATCCAGGCAACGTCGATCAGACATGCGTGGCAAGGAGTAGACGGGACGTTACACCTCTGACGAGGTGGTGACTCACAACACATGCAGCTAAAAAGTCCGCCAATCATCCCCCAAAAGACCGAGACAACGAGAGGAGAAAAAAATCGATCATTATGGGGCCAACAGGTGCGTCATACCACGTCTGTTTCTGTTCAATTAAGTGCATTTTATGCTTTTATAATGGTGTCCCGACTAAGCTCTCCGAAACGTCAGCATTCCAATAAACCTGTTCCGATGAACTGTTCTATTTCCCCAAAGTGACAGTCTAGTCTGATGATGACAGTGTGGATGGGAAGAGAATTGGGAAGGGTCATATCATGGAGGAAAGGGTACGAAGGGGAGGGAGAATTGCATGCAGTTGGTTGGTTAACTGGCCTCTGATCATGATAATTGCGGGTCTTCACAAGGCCCTCCTGTGAGAACAGGATCAGCTTGCGTAACCTGATTGCGACTGCTTCTACCGTTGCCAGTACACATTGTTTCAGCGGTTAAGGACAGTTCTGTGGAACCCAATAAATCCCTCGGAAGGCGTCATATCGCATCTTGTCAACCATGCCTGGAGATGTTTCCATATTCTTTTGGATAGGCGCTGACTCGTTTGACCGCTATAATCTGCTCCACAGAAGCAAGTAGAAGAGCGAATGCACATAGACGTGGTCTGAGCTCGGAACTTATCCTTAACATCCCCGTGTCAAATGAGGCTAGTCAAGAATAAGACTTGAACACTTGCCGTTGGGAAGGTCTGTAAAACAGGTTTGTCAAAATTTCTCTTCAGGGGTTCATTCGTCGTCTCTCCGTGAAGTAGAAATTTACGGATTTTTCGCCGTCGTCATATGGTGGCCATATTCTGAACCGGAACGACCTAGGGTTTCAACTGACTTTCCAATGGCTGGGTTGGGCCTAGTGCTATCCGATGGGTGTTCGCCAATAGGGTCTTATTTCAGGATGCGCTCAAATATCGGGTCATTTCATCCTGGGCTTCAGGTAGATCTGCCTGACGACGGCTAATAAGCCGATACCAGTCATTTCAGTCTCCTTTAACTTTTGCCAATGATGGTTATCTATTTCTTAAAAGGGCACCATCACGTCCAAACCCAAGGTCATTTTATAGGCAATGTGCCATCTTCTGAGATAGGCCTGTGACAAGCAAAGACGCTTCAGGTGAGATGACAGTCAGAAGTCTGAGTATGAAAGTATGAGAGTTTTCTGACTGAGGAAGCCTGTATTAATTTCATTAAGCTTTCCCAAACAGCCTTGGATATTTTTCAGCTCATGGAAGCATGTTGCTAGGGCTAGTTTTATGCTGGTCTTTCTATTCCAGGATAGCTACTTCCCTGCCGATAGAAAAGCTAAAGAGGAAAAGATATTCGCGTGAAGTGACCCAAAGACGAAGCTAGTGATAAAGAGTGCTGGGACTACTGTTAAATATTTTTTCATTGAGCTAAGACAAGTGATAAATTCATCATTGTTCATATGTGGAAGAAAACGAATTATCTTTTTCTTGAAATGCGCATAACCACTGCGCGTTGGTAGTAAGTGCGCACTTGCAATATCAAGGCATTTTAAAAAATTGAATTTTATATTATATGGAGTTGACGAAAATATAGGCATTTATTTGCTTTACAAAATCGGCGGTGTTCATAAAATTCACCCGACAAAGTAAGAAAAGCGTGTGACGCGGAAATAGAAACTCCCCGTAATGCAGGTTGCCTCGCGGCAAATGTCACGTAAATTAGAGTTAGGGTTAGGCTTTGGGCTAGAGTTAGGATTAGAGTTAGGTCACGGAAGTAGGTACCCGGGCTGGAATTTGGCACAAGGGCACCTGCATTTGGGAGGTTCCTGTTCCCGTATATTACCTAATTCGATTTTCGGGTGCTGACTGCTGGAAGAACGCCATTCATCATTACAGACAGTTTATTGAATCTGACCGCCATTTTCTTTAAGGACTAATATTTGATGAATTGCATTATCTTCCTCTCGACACGGTTCATTCCAGGTTTGATTTCAGACTTAAGGCAGTCGACAGGTGTTGAGACTGATAACCAGAGCTTGATGACACTGGTTACCTCAATTTCCGGCTAAAACACCTCATCGGTCTCTGACGCAGTGTTTGCTCACGTCAGGAAATTACGTTTACCAATCGTTTACCAATAACTGATCCCATCTGGTATATGGCTGTGGCATGGTTATACAGGTTTCCATAGCCCGATGAGAATGACGTGCTAACGATCACCTATTGTTTTTTCATCCTGGCGTCTGAGGTATGAGGCCTAAACTTGCGTTTTCAAAGGACAAAAGAAATTGGTTTTGTCCTAAAACTACCCTAAGTCATTAATTTCTAGGTTGGAACTCTTATTCTCCTGTTTCGACGGCATTGCGAAAAGTCATACGCCTGGTCGTTTCTTATTGTAGAAGTTAGGACGTTGATTAGAAAAACTAGTAGTAAATGAGGTTTTTTCTGGATGCTAGTCGAGATCATTTTCCTCTTCTAGCCAGGCGTTCTAATTCATCAAATTTGCGTTAACCTGGAGAACTGGTGACAGGCTCATCAGTAGCACAAATTCCACTGCAGGTGGTACATTCGGCTCAGACGAATAAAGTTCAAAGGGGCAGTCCTCACGGTATTCACAAGAGGGCATAAAATTACGCCAGCACTGCTTTTAATGCGCCCTTTACGCCAGTCCGCCTCGGGGAGTGATTAGCGGGGCAAAGAGCAGCAAATTGTGGAGCCAGGCGTTTCGGCACTGTTGCCCACGGGTTTGACGTAGGCGCCATAATCCGGGTCATCAGCTTAGGACAGCACGCCGCGCCGTTATCAGCTGCCTATGATAATTACCCAGAACGCTTGCCCTGAGTTCCAGATTCCGCCATCAAGCAGCGCTGAGGCGAAGTGTGGCCAGTTACAAGTACCATGCAAAGGACGGCAGATGGCAAGAGTATGCTAAGTCTCCTTTACTAAAGACTCCCCTTTGGGGAGGCTCAACAGCAGCCACCCTTAGGGTAGAAACGACGTTCAAATCACCAGGGAAAGGTAAAAACTGCTTTTGGACCTGGAGCTAGAAATATGTGAGTCTGTGCGGCATACTTAAAGTCACAATGCTTTAACCCGCTGGGC